ACCTCACGTGTCTGACAACGACAGCGATGGTGCGCCGAGAAGCGTCGGACATTTCTCGGTCGTGCAAGTAACTATTGATTAATATTTTCCGAGTAAGAAACTCAAGCGAGAGCGAACCTCAACCGTTACCTGAAATCCGTCGTATTCCGGCCGCAGGCAGACGCTGGTCCACAGCCGAGAGTCGTACGCGGTAGCCCGCCATCGCTTGCACACCAGGGCGCATTTGAGCACCTCCTTGTGGGACAGGTAGGTGAACACGTGCAGCAGCACCTTGTTCGGCAGCATGTCCATCATCTGAAACGAAGGGGAACGCGCGTTACGACTGGCCGTCATTCGCCTCTCGTCTCGTCCGAGCCGCATGATCAAACAGACAACTCTTTCGCTGCTCGCTGCCGCTGGTTTGATCCCGGTGATCGCAGGGGTGAGGTGAGGACCGCTGAGGCAACGGTAAACAGGAGGGCGTGTATCGGAAAAATTTTTACCGCCGTCACGTGTCAAGAAACCAGAATCGTCGAACTCGACGAACACTACGTCTTCCCCATCGACAACTGGACGCCAGCCGAACGAACGCTTGCCAGCAAACTCAGCAGCGCCCTCGTCCAAGCCTCGTCTGTCGATGACGATCCGTTGCCTAGGCGATCGATCTGAGAAACGGCCGTTGCCATTAAGTCCATCACCTCGCCAGATTCCCGTTCGACGCTTTAAGGCTGGACAGCACAACATTAAAGGAAGAAAATATACACGTGGGGCGTCGAGTTTAGCACTGGTAGCTTTCAGTCCATTCTTTCAGCGACGGCGGCTATAAGGCGATCGCTAAGCTTTACTCGGGAAACTCAGCTTAAGCAAGTAACCATCTGCCGCCTATTATGATAGGGAATACGGCCCCTCAAAACAGGGGCCAAAGCAGTGGTGCTTAGATTTATCGGTTTTATACGTATAGCGATGAATGGTCGATAACAGCGAAAAAAACGACTGGAAGTGGAGAGAGGAGGAAGTAAAGGATTATTGGTTAAAACTGGCAACACAGGTCTCCATCTCTACATATATACCTTAAAGAATATAATATTTGCTATAATGGCATCGCGCTGTCAGCCTCCTTCGTTGCTGAGTGGTATCTTGCGAATCCGACAGACAGAAGGCCCAAGGGACGGCCAAGATTAACCTGGTGCAAACATATGGAAGAAGTCTGTTCCAGACTCCAGTTGTTTTCTGCCAAACCTCAGACTCTGGCACAGGATCGGGGACGTTGGAAGCTCTGTCTGACGTGCATGCCTCCGGGTCCGAAAGGAGAAGCGGTGATGGAAGATTAAGAAGATGAGGAATGTATATGTGATTAAAAAGAACTTCAATAAAAGCGTGACCTCTACAGCAACAGAAATGTAAACAGATGAAGGAGAAGAGGAGAGAATGACTCGTTCACTAAGGCAAGAGCTTCATTTGTTTTCGAAAATCAAGATTTACAGGCGGAAAGAAACTTAGAAAACCAGTTCAAAATCAGCATGGCTTTGCCTGCAACGTGATTAAAATGCAAATGAACCTATACCATATGAACTCACGTACGTCTTTTGCCAATTTTTTATGAGCATGCTCTTGAAACCGTGTACTAATGTCAAAAGCATTAAAAAATGGACGAGGAGAAGCTACAGCCCTGGCAACAAAACATAGCTCACCGTCCAAATACATCAGGTTTGACCCTACCGACAAATGGCTCGCTACCTTGAGACGCAAGGTCTTCGTGGATCCTACTCTGCATTCGATAGTGTTTACTTACTCCCTGATTCCAAATTAAACGATTTAAATATTTATTTTTTTTAAATATGCAAAAGTCTATGCAAATCAACTAATGTTTGTAAATACAACTTTACATTAATAATATTTGCAATCCAAAAGCAGTGCCTTCGAAAACTTCTTTGAAAGAGGACATCTACTATCTTATTTAAGGTTACAAGAAGTTTAAAAAACTTAAACTATCGATAATTGTGAGGCCGGTGAGGGAAACGAGCTATACAGCTTTAAAACTAGATCTGCATTCAGAAGTGGTGTACGTCAGATGAACGAACAAGGATTGGTCGCACAGTTGTACCTTCATGCTTGAGCTCAACGTAAACATAGATTACAAACAGACCGAAGAGCGTTTGGTGTCATTTTGAATCCCTATCTTGTCTTCCGGTAAGATTTCACGTTTGCAATTCAGAGCCCGCTTTTGGAGTGGTTGCAAACGTCTTAATCCGAGGTGGGCATCGAGCGAGGACAAAAAAAAAGATTGAGAACTTCTGCTGAGCTGCAATAAAATACTTTTATCAAAAATATGTCTGTCAATATTTGTGTGTGCTTGTGTCTGTTTTTGTTTGGTGTCGTCAATGACCATATGGATAAAGAAATAAACTATAACTACATGCCTTCCGTTGTAAAGTCGGAATATTATTAAACTGATGTTCGCAATACATAATATGCCAGTGTTCTTTAGCTTGGAGTAAACCTCGTTAGTTCAAACATCCTCAGGAAATACCAAAGCAGATAGTACAGCAGGTATGTCATACGGGGGACATACTTTGATCAAATAAGTGTGGCCATTCTCGACAAAACGATAACCACCATAAGATGGCAAGGTGCAGAACGCCTTTCTAAAGTTCAGACATCATAAATCTGGGTTACTGTACTGTTTAAGCTATACTAGCCTTTGATGTGGATGACACAACAGCAGCAACAAAACGCGTTTAAGCCTTTCCACAGAAAATTGCTTGTATGGAAGCGACTTCTCGTCGTTTGCAAAGTGCCCTTTACAACAAGTCACTTCCGTGAGCAGAAGTGTTTCCCTCCGTTGCTGCGGTTATCCTCGAATAACAGGGTGAATATAATCGTGATAGGATCATCCATATGGATCACTAGATTTTCTGTTGCTGAAGTGTGAAACCAATCGGGCATTAAAGATTGAAGGTCGGTGACCAGCACAGCAACTGATTCCTGAAAACGAAAGGATCTGCCCTCAGTGAGTTATCATGCTTTCGTTAACACAATCAAATGCTTTTAATTTCCTAGCCTAATTCACACTCAATCTATGGTCCGCTGCACCAGTCGATTATTTTCATATTCCTCGATCATTCGCCAGACTTTCGATCACTTCAGACTGCTTCAAGACATTCTTTATAAAATCGTGCATTGCTGTTTCTATCTAGGATCAATGAAGACCTTTTATGCTTGCAAGACAAGGCCGTTATTCGGTAAGTCGCATGTTATTCGACCAGGAGACAGACCACTGGCCAGATGAATTCTCGATTACATAAAACATCAGGCACAGTAAAGCGTTTTAGTCTATCTTAGAGGGTCTGTCCCACCGACAGACAAGCGAAACACTGAAACCTCACCCATAGGCAGCTGCTCCCTCAATCCGAAAACAAAAGCGAGGGTAGAAATTGAATCGATGAACGAATACAAAATAATTAAGAATAAAAATGAACCAAAGAGCGAATCAATAAATTGACGAATGAACAAGTGAACGAGTGAATGAAGGAAGAAATGAAATGATTGAATTATGGTTTATATCTTGTGCTGATTATTACTCCTGATAATGAGCAACAGAGTGGGTAAAATGCGGCCACAAGGAGCGCTTGCATCGGGCAGCACGACCGTATACCTCGCTCATTCCGGTATGACCAGACAAGAATACCTTGAGGTTCTTTTTTGCCTATTTTTTTGGCTACCTGCGCTGAAACACAGTGGGATTAATTCGTCGTTCAAGGAAATTCACGGATAAGACAACGGTTGACCCGCCAGCAAGTTCGAACCAAACACTTTGAGTTAAGAGTGGATCCCTCTGCCATTTCGCCACCGTGCTCACGTGATGAAACAATAAATGAATAAACAAGCGAAGTAGGAATTGATCCTCTTACATCTATGCTAAGCGGTGTGTATTTAGCAAAATTTTTAATGCAACTGGTTATCATATGTTTTAGTAAAGTCAAGGACGAAGCCCATATTTGCCTTTGAAGACAAGGTCTAGAGCGCAATATCTATCTAAAGAGCCCACAATCTACACAATCAAATTCATTTATCTGACGTTGAAAAATGATGAATAAATTAATTAATTAAGGAATGAAACAATGAATTAATTAATATATTGCTTAATCGAGGGCGTTCCAATTGATAATGAATGAAAGAACGAATGAATTCTACTGTTTCATGCTACATCAGGGGTTGGACCAAGTTTTCAACGTACTCGACAGGTGTTGCTTGCATGTAACCACAGCAATTGAACCTACTGTTTGCTTGTTTTTGAGCTAAGCTTAGTTAAGCGAGAGTTAAGCTTAATCTGATCCTTAAAACGGGTTTTCCGATGTGATCCTCCCGACTGATTCAATATGTCCATCTGAACATCGGCATTTATATGTAGTGTAGGTGTTCCCCCATCTCTTCAACTCTTCATAGCATTCAGCTACTACTTGAGTGGAAGTAAGTTGGTAAAAGTTGTACTTTATAGTTTTCCTGATTCAAAAGTTAACTGTTTAAATTATTGAAATTAATTCAAGGAAGTCAAGCATGTAGACAGTAAGATTGGATCGAAATAATCGGCACTTCTATTTACGTGTACCATCCTGCTGAGGCATCATGTCTGAAAAGCATTGGTCTAACGTAAAAACATATGATCGCTGATTTGAGAAGACTTTGGGAATATTCATTAGACTGGTGCTCCGTAAAGCGGCTGACGATGATGACAGCAGAACTTTGGCTTAATGCAATATGACGAAACATGGAGAAGATTTTGACTCAGACCAGATTTATCAGGGGTGTCAGGGGTGATTATAACTTATATGCACTTAATCCTCCATTTTCAAGGTCCGCTTTAAGGATCGAACGGATTAAAGTACTTATTAATGTGTCCGGTCTTCAGCCAGTTCCAAAGACCTAGAAAACCAGGTGATAAAATATGTTATCTGAGTTATGTCTCATCTGCCGCTATTTACCCATGACCACCAGTCATGTGGCCTTGCACCGAAAGAGGTCGTCTAAGCTTTATTACGTATTTATGAATGCAGGATTTGATATAAGGACTAGATAATCAATGCTGAAAATTAGATGGTAGGCAACAGCCCCAAGGAGTAAAAGGTCAGTAGCACGAACCTGCGATGAAACAACGAATCACAAGGTGTAGATGAATCATCTTCAAGAAGTTTTATAATACAGCAAGCGCTTCGTTGCAGGCGTTTCGTTGCAAGAACGCATTATGCATTAGCAAAGCGTTCTTTACCACGAAGAGTTCGATGAAACCTGTGTTTCAATGCACAGGATAAAAATGAACTTGCGATATAGCGAACAACCTGAGGAAGGCTAAGACTGACCTGAGGCAAGTGCCTCAAATGACTCTGTTTATAGACGTGAACAATCTTCTGCCGAAGGTCAGATGTTGGCACAGGATCAAGAACTTTGAAGATAGGATCGGATGCTGCTGCCTCCGGGACCCGGAAGGATAAGTGAATATCGTAACTCGGTGTCTGATATAATGATTAAAATTTTGCATTTTCTTCAGCAAGAAAGTGAGGAAACGGCGGAGTAATATAAATGACTAAGAAAAAAGATTTGCAGAAGCGAAGTCTAATCATATTAGTGTGCTATTACATTATAGCAATGCACAGTGAGGGCATTATATCAAGAACCAATGTCATGGAACAGACTTACGAAGAGAGCTGCATGAATTTAAAGATATCGAGAGAGTGCGAAACGAATCTACAACCGTAGAAGACGATAGTGAATTGAGGAAGAAGCGGAAGATTTAGAGAATGTCTTTTTTTGACGAAAGTGGAATGTGCGAGCCCGTTGGAACACGATTCATCGTCCAAAATACTAGTCGTCCTATTGCAGATCTAGTTATAGTCATTTAAAAACGTACTGTACGTGTTAATGAAAATGAAAAACCTAGAAGCAAGGGTTTATATAATCATGCATAAAGACAAGAGTCTATCATTTGAAAGAATCCATATTTTCCTCATATTTCAAACTGCGCGCAAACCTAAGAATTGAGTAGGTACAAAGTTAGTCTGGTCAGATAGGTGATTTCATATTTGATCAAGGTATTAGATGATTTTTGAGGTTGAAAACGTCGTCGTTGAGGCCAGCGCGAGCCGACGACGTTTCATCAATAAGAGTCACGAAGGAATAATAATAGAAGAGACTCATTCAAGTGACTTTGCGTACACAAAGGATGGGTGATGAAAATAATGATGCGTTATGCGCCGCCCCAATGGCGTTTCAAACTCACCGCTGAACGCTTGACACAGTTACTGCTACATACCGAGTATAGAAGAGGTGTTGCATGGTTCGGTAGCTAGCGGCGTCGAAGCGAGTCAACCAGCTGACGAACAGGTCCAGCCGCAACGCTAATGAGAGGCAATAAA